TTATTATTATTAATATATTATATTATAGCAAGCATTAAAAAATGCGCCAAAAAATATTTCATTCAATTTACAACAAATTCTGAGCAACATATGGCTCTGCATATATTCAAGTAAGTTTTTATATATATATATAGATGGGGGACTTTTTTTTTCTCTGTTATAACAGTTGATAAAGTAAGGAAGTGGTTATGTATCTGTGTTCGAATGTGTGTATTAAGTGTCGTAGTGCAGAACCAAATTGATCGCTTTTGCTCTGATGCTTCGCTTTCAAATTTTGGTATAGCTGGGATAGGTATTACCCTGATTTGGTACAGCCATGCCCTGTGTAGCAGTTATCAATGGACGCTGCTGCTCGCGTGTTTGCTGAATTTGCTTGAACAGCGAGTAGATTCCCATATAAATGTAGATTTGCAAAGCTAAAACAGAAATGAGAAACCAAGGCGCAATTAGCAATGTATACGAAATTCCAAGAATTCAAGTATTCAAGTATATGTATATGTATAAAAATAAAAATATATAAAGGGTGTTTCCTCGGTATGTGCATGTGTATGTGTGAGTAAGATAAGAAGACTACCAAAGCCTTGTAATCAGAATTGCAATGTTCGTATGTTTGAATGTATGCTATATTTACATCAATATGCCCAACATGTGTGACTCACCTAGTATAAGAGCAGTGGGTATCAAAGCAGGTAGAACGTGTCCGAAATCGGCGCCAGAGGAGAACGCGGCGACAAATAGAGCCAAATGATAAACAATGCTAAAGACAAGTCCAACGGCAGAATTAATCAGCCATGGCAGAAGCATCAGATGACGTTCCTGTGCATAAGAGTAAAAGAGATGAGCATACGATGATTGCAGACAAAGCAAATAAATAGAGTAACATTATAACAGAACGCATGACGTTTGCAGTTTACTCTACGATCCCCTCCCACCGTCATTCTCACTCTTACAATCTTTCTCACTCATTTACCTTCATGGTGCCAAGTACTAGCAGGGCCGATGACAATAAGTTCAGCAGAATGATCCCCAAGTAAACGCTGCATCCGATGACAATAGCTGCAAAGATAAGATATGAGCATTTTAACGCACTTGTTTGATTTCCCTAAAACATTTTCGCTCTCTCTATCTCTCTCGCTCTCCTGCTTTTGCTTACCTGAATGTACTTCATCATAGGTCGCTTCTTCAGGTTGCATCTTATCGACAATTCCCTTAGCAATAACATCAGCATATCCCAAAATGGTGGATAACAGAATTACACCCAATAAGGAGCCAACAATACCCAACCAGCCGAGCACCACGCCGGCGGTATTGAGACGCATGCAGCATAATCTTGTCAACATTTTTCACTCGTTGTTTACACTAGATTTAAACGAAATTTCTATGGATATTGCAATTGCAAAAGCACAAATATTTATATATGCACAAATACTATATATACATATATATAACCACACGAACCTGAAACTAGAGCTGAGTAATCGCTTCGTCTACGTCGCAATTGAGAATGATTTCACACTGACAATGCGTTTGCAAGTTAACTGTTGTTTTGCGGAATCGTGCAGGGATGACAGCTTCAAATCTATTAACAGAACATTGATGCTGCGTATTTGACGTTAGCGACCAACGCAACGTACTTAAATGTTAAGTCGCGTGTGTATTTTGATTAAAATAATTTAACAAATTAGTTTAGTAAATAATATTTAAACAATTATACAATACACCTATGTATTTTCATGAGAGAAATTTTAATGTTTTCATATTATTCACTTATAATTATAGACTATTAACAGTGCTGTTAGACGACTCACTAGGTAATGTTAGATCTGCAGTAATCGTTGCATTTACTAACAGCGCACAGCATTGCCAGACTGTTTTAAAAGCTTTTGTGTAGTTGCAGCGAAATTTTAAAATGTGTAATAACTGTTGTGTGTTATACGTGCTCTCACACGTGAACGCGCCACTCGTCAGACAAGTAGAATGTTATTCTTAAATGGCACTCTCTCATCTTTCTCCCTCTGTCCCTCTTGTTAATTAATTCTCTTAGGAGCAATAAAGACGTTAAAGAGGCGTATTCAGTTGTTTTCAGCCTGTTGCGCGCGTCGGTATTGCATTTAAGTCGAGAATTACTATCAGTTGCGCTACGAATTTGGCTGAAGCTCAAATAGCCATAAAGTCAAACATTTTAAAATGAAAATCGAGCTAACCGTCGATCGTGGACCATGCGACACAGAGCTGCGCAGCTGGTGTTTGAGCATTGTTATTTACTGAGCCGCTTTGTCACTTGATTCGTCCAAAATCATAATAAACTTAACGCTTCCAATCCTATTTCTAGAATCCTCACGAAAATGAGTGATTTGTTCTGTGGTTTTTGTTGGAGTTTACCCTAAATTAATTTTTTCTTTCTATGCAAATCCACTTCATGCAGATTTGTGTTTTTTTGTAGACAAATACGAGTTACTCAAACCACGAAATGATTTCAAAAGATTGTATGATACAAAATCGTGTATCGATACTTGTATTCATGATTTTTAGTTTTCAGTCAAAACTTTTAACAAAGATAAAAACAAAATAAATCGTAAGTGATAATTAAATAAAGCTAAAATAAAGCTAAATTAATGTTTTTTTAATGCCAGAATTCCCGCAGCCCGCCGCTTTCGAATTTTTTCCGCATAAGGACTTCAAATAAAGCCTGATCTGACGTGAAAAAAGCTAAAATGTCAGCTCTGGTAATTATGTATCTGTATTTAAATGTATGTGTTAAGTGTCCCAGTGCAGAACGAAGTTGTTCACATTTGCTCTGATGCTTCGCTTTCAATTTTTGGTACAGCTGGGATACGTATTGCCCTGATTTGGTACAGCCATGCCCGGTGTAGCAGTTGTCAGTGGACGCGGCTGCGCGCCTGTTTGCTGAATTTGCTTAAACAGCGAGTAGATTGCCATATAAATGTAGATTTGCAAAGCTAAAACAGAAATGAGAATTCATAT